TAACTAAAAATAATTGCTGTGGAAGGCAAGTTCTGCCTTGCAGATATTACACAGGTTTCTCTTTCATTTTCTTAAAATGATCCCACACTTTTGAGCTCCGTTGCTGGGTAGCCATGATACCAGAGCCTGTCTGTATAATGTCTTGTGACGTCCACGGCCTACCCCAGTTACCACTACTGTGCATGTGTGTCAAGGACAGAAAGGCAGATGTGGCAGTGGAAGGTGTCAAAGCAGTTTGGAGAGAAAAACAAAGAACAAAAAAAAAAGAAAATGATTAATCAATTATTAAATTAGTCATCGATTATTTTAATAATCGATTAGTCATCGATTAATTGATTAATCGTGGCAGCCCTAATGACAGACTTTGTGATACTGAGAAACATTATATCTTCATCAACAGACTGAACACAAAGAGCATACAGAAACTAAACTTGAAAAGAAAAAAAAAGAAAAATAAACACTGAAAATCACTGAACCTGACAACAGACTGTACAGTCTGTAAAAYCAGAAAGACGTTCTAACTGAGCAGTCAGGCTAATGGCTATTCAACCAGCTACTGTAGTTCTAAACCAGATTTGTGCCGTCTTGCAAGCAAACACTAATTTGATCAACTTTTTTTTCCAGCTGTCACGTTTTCATAATTTGTTTAAAGACAAGCAGTTGCACATTCAGTTTGTCCTTGTTGTATGAGTGTGTATGTTTTAAGCTTCTGCTATGATGTTTATAACGCTGACAAATGTTTTAACCAAGACCTTTAATCGTCCTGACACAAACAAGAGCCACATATTTAAACAAGTGAATGCATTTAAATAGGTGAATGCTACGCTTTGAAGATAAACATCTGGTTGGGTACTCTGTTACCAAACTCCACACAGGAGTGTTTGAGCCAAAGGTCGGATCAGGATCCTTGTTGCTGTGCCGATGGCAGCGCTGCTGTTCCACCATCCACAACATCACGTGTAACGCTGATTGAAGTTATGCTCTCTGAGATTTAGCCGTCTGTAACACAATCAAAGGCTTATGTTTGGGGAGCGGCACTGAGAGAGAGAGAGAGAGCTGTGGGATTTAAAAAGGCTACTCATGTTTACAGATTTCCTCATACTAGATTTTTTTTCTTAGTGACTCCATTCAAACCCATATACATAAATAATTAGCTTTGGTTTCATGCCTCAACCGTCATTAAATGGGATTAAAAATAGGACTAAATCCAATGATTGCTGAGAGTTAGATCTTTATCACTGTCAGCGAAAAAAAATATTTAAATGTCCTCGTTTATTGTCTCTTTTGGAGTCGTCTTTCTTTGTTGTTTTGGTGTGCTGGGGAGGACTCAAAGCTGAGGAACCTTCATCCTAATCGGCTTGAGATTTGGCTGCAGGTCAGGCCAGCAGATGAATGAGGATTAGGGGGTCACAAGGCAGTTAGAGAGGATTACCAGCTCTGGCCACTCCAACCTGCTCCTGTAGCTGTCCAACCATTGGCTGAAAGGTGCTATCTGCAGCAGCTCTCCCAAAAAGTCAACAGAAATGTGCATGGCTTGGGCTATTGTCTGGGATTTTTAGGGAGCTTATTAAATAATGTTTTTTATACATTAGGAATAAAGAAAACTTGATATTAATCTGTTTTAGAACTTTAAGACATTGAGTATTTCATAGTGTGCTCTAATAGTTAAACAAATTGTGCGTTTTGGTGATTGGTTTCTGTTCAGTAGCGCCCCCTAGTCAAGTACACCAAGCAAAAATGTCCAGCGGATTTATTTAATGAGGATCGTTTAGGAATAAACAGCGTTCCCTCGATGTTGGAGCAAATGTCTTTGAGCTCTCCTGCAGCTTTTTTATTTTCAGCAGGAAATCTTCTACATTTTCTTTATTACACCTTCCAATCAAAGGCTCGTCTCTTGCTGGAGCTCCAGCAAGAAAACAAAAAGAAATGAAGTTGCATGTGCAACGATGTGCTCCTTTTCAGTTCCCTCCGTGTAGGTCTGCTTTGAAGTTTAAATAAAACACGTCTTTTTTTTTCGATAACAGGCTCCGTACCACCTACCGAGTCAAACCACCTCCGTTCCCTCGCGCTGCTCGTGTCCCTGGTTTGAACTCTGCAAACCTGATGCACAAAACGCTGCATTACTGTCAGGATGATTATGGGGAACTCTGGGGAAAAAGTCAGACGTCTGTCACAAATCCTTAACATGAGGATTATGCTGGATGCGGAGCAAAGGACGAGAAATTTACGCGGGACGAGTGTGTCTAACAAAGCTGCTTGTCTGGGACGTGTTTGACATTTGACATAGAATTCACATAGAATTTGTTAGAACGTATAGAAAAGAGATGTGGAAAGGTACGCTAGAAGTAGCTAAAATTTAGTCAAAAATGGCTAACATTTATGGCTGAAATGGTTAGTTGAGAAATCACTGATCAGCAGGTGAGAACATAAACAGGCTCTGAAAGTTAAGGTTTTATGAATTGTGGCTTTGTGAAAAAACAAACATTACATTAAATGATGAATAAATCAAACTAAGTAACGACTAATTAGCCAAGCTAACAGGTAATCTGTGTGAGGTCAAGACCAAATTAGATTGTTGACGTCAGTTCTAATCTCAGACGAATATTCATTCATCTTCTTTACCTGATTCTGTTTCTCGGGTCTCAGCCAGGGGGCAGCCCGGACAGGTCGCAAGTCCATGAAAAGAACACAGACCCACGGAGGCCACATCCTATGCAGTCTATGACTGTGTCTCAATTCACGGGCTGCATCCTCATGAGTGCCTAGCCTACCTGGGCCACGTGGGCCATGTGGGCCACATCCTTCCCAGTCCGGGTAGGCTGCATGAAACCGCTGTGAAATGAGACGGTCTATAACCTTCGCTTGACGTATGTTTGTGTGACCATTTGCTACCCTTGTTATCATAGTGATTGGTTATATATTAGACTTATGTGTTGGGACATGTATTCACATGTCTTTTTACAGGAAAAATTAAAACGTTAATGTAAACAAATACAAAAAACATGAATATTTCGGGATTAGCTCCAGTATTAGTTCTTATAGTTAAATTTTATTTATCATCTCATTGCAGCATAAATATCATCAGCTAAGTTGCTAAACTTACTTTAAAAAACTAATTTTTCTGTATGTGATGAATTTCCAAACTACGCTTTTTAACTTAATTAGAATAAAAATCCGCCATCTTCATTTTTCTGTTGGGTTTGCTGACGGCGCGATGAATCCTGGGGTATCCTCGGCCGGGAAGGATGGTCAGACACAGCCTTGGTTTTTAGGGACTGTATGGGCCGCATGAGAAGGACGTTCCAAGGGGACACTGGGACCTTCTTGCTGAAAAGAACCACCATACCACCTGCAATCAATCATAAAATCTTATGCAACATGAAACTGACAGCAGTTTAAATGATAAGTTTAGAAAATAGTTGCATTAACTACTATCTTTTTTTTTTCTGTGTATTTGAGCTCTTTTAAACCAAAGCAAACCACTTTGGTCCTTGTCCTGTGCATCAGTTCAATCAGAATGAAAGTGTTTCTCCCACTGAGGTCATTCAAAGAGCTGTCTTTACCAGATAAGAAATAATTTGTTCATAACTTTTTCTTACAACCTCTCTTGAAAATATTTAAAGTACTACAATACTGTATATTTATGCTGTTTTTAGAGTTTCAAAGGGTTCGCAGTACTTTTGCTGTGTATAAGAATATGTAAATTTGGGGATTTTGGTCTTTACAAGTGGTTGAAGAGAAAAAAAAACAGCCTAAACATCTTGGGAGTTTTAAATCTTTTAAAGGGGACCTATTTTGCAAAATTCACATTTTAAAGTTTTTTTTAACTCAACTTTGGGTATGTACTTCTTAAAAAACAGTCCTAGGACCAAACAAATGCACCCAGGGGCATATTTGCTGTAAGTAAATGTATTTTTAATGTATTTTAACAACAAGTTTTATACTTCCGTCATTTTGTGATGTCACAAGCCGTACGACAACCCACCGGAACCTGAGTTCAGCCCCTTACCTAGCAACCCCCAGGTGAAGCTCCACCTCCTCAGTATAAAAAGCCGTCACGGTTGTTGTTGTGTAATGCGCWRCTCATTTCACAACACGCCTCCAATAGGGAAATGGGTAGAGTGTTGGACCAGAGAGTGGGAGACCAGGGCTTGAGACCGGCACAGACACAATTTAATTATTTATTTTCATTCATTATGAACACATTTTCTCATGTACCTCTATTGTTTAGCTTATTAAAGCCTTGTTAAAGCCTATTTGTTCGAGTTTCTGAGGTATTTTGATCGCTGCTGCTCCCTGCTCTGGTAACAGCATGCAGAGTGAGCGCAGAGCAGAGGAGGGGGAGAAAAAAAAAGAAGCTGCCACCACTTTTCTGCCTCTGGGTCTCATATGGTTGTACAACGGAGCTTCTGCTATTATTAGCCATGCTAACGTAAACGCTGGCTCTGGAGGGCGGAGTTAATGTCAACAGATTTTGGAGGGCGTTGCCAACAGAGCTCATTAACATAAACAGCTCTTCTGAACAGAAGTCAAAGCAGGCAGAACTAGAAAATGGGAAATTTTATTATCTGAGAATTATTTTGTGCATTAAATTGAATGAACGTGGTCTGGATAGCCCACAGACATACTGTACCATTAAAATTTCTAGGATGCATAACTGGTCTCCTTTAAGATTTATAGATGTGTTTGAGCTCCTTTCCAGCACAAGACAACAGCATCTGTATTGGTTTTGTTTAAAAAAACAGTTAACTTAGTTTAAAAGATCACTTGTTTGTTGTAAAATTAACTCCATTTGAATGAATGTTAAAACAAAACCATGAGGTTAAAATTCACATTTGTGGAATGCTCTTCTGCAATGTTTTTTTTATCATTATTATTATTTTGTACAACAGCCTTTGGAGCTCCGTGGTCTTTCTGCCTCACTGACCCTGCCTGACTTTTTTTTTCCTTTAAGGTCTTTGAAATGCTAATCTCTTCTTCTCCCCTGTTCTCTTCTTCAGATTCCTCCTCCAACTACATCAGGCAGCTGGAGACCAAGGTGCGGATACTGGAGGATGATAAAAATAAGCTCCTCTCTCAGGTGAGCGTATGCACAGCTAAGGGTCTTTCACCTATCAGAGCTCAGTCGTCTCAAAACTTCAATAAAACCCCAACAACTCGCCCTAAAAAATGATCAGCAGATGAGAAGCATGAGAACATATCTATTTGTATTTAATTCACGGGAAGTCACTAATCTTCACTTCCATCAGAGACGTTCGCCTCAGAGACGAGCTAGGGGGAGCAGAAGAAACATGAGAGGGGGCCTGAAAAGGGAGGAAAAGAGTAAAGTGACAGCAACATTGAGTTTAAAAAAATCAAGACATCTTCCCTTAAGTTGACCTCATAGTGACTTCTCTCAAATTTGAAAGTGTGGGAGGTGGGTGGGGGGGTGTTGGAGGAGGATGGGGAGGAATTTTTAGTGTGGTTCACCAGGAGGTCACGTCTCAGACTGCAGAAGTGTGTGTTCACACACACACACACACCCGACCAAACCAATTAGCTCCATAACGAGAATCAAATTTTAAACACATTCATTATTTATTATTAAGACTCCTGTAAAGGTTTCTATGAAGTCGGGGCACAGACACACAACGGTTCTCGACTTTTAAACAGCCTCTAAAAAATGTTTCATCTTCTTATTTTTCACAGATTCCTCTTTCCCCAGTTGTTTCCCAGCAGATTCATACGTAGACAGAGCATAGGCTGGTATCAGTGGTGTGAAACGATCCTCATAATTAGCTCCTAAATACTACAATTAGGTGCTACACAAGCCAGGAGGAGTAATGTGAACCTTCCTCTCGGTGCTGATTGTCCTCATTCACTGAGGTGAGGCAGATTTTAGCGTCAGATAAGTCTGATGAAAGACAAAGTGTTTGGAACTTTGAGGGGGAAAACTCTGCTTGATTTCAGCTTGCCAAAAGAGGGAAGACGGAAAAAGATGAAAAGAGGCAATAATAATAACTATAATACTGTAAATCTCTCCATGGTTTTCTCTCCCTAGGCTTATAACCGCTATAGCTTATCACAAATACAGACGAAGAAGGTAACTTTCTAAAATGTCACTCTGTGTTGACTCTTCTGCTGCTTTTTGATTCTCGTTACTGTCTGGTGGCGGAAAATTTCACTGCTTTCAGCTCGATTCTGCCTWTTATAACACGGATGGACACAGTCAAAGCAACAGTTGTACAATTTAATGTACCTATTTTTAATTGAAGTGTGTAATAATYGAGCTGTGGTTATATTTAAAGAAGAAATTCAGATTTAATAAATACAGTAATTATTTTTAATTTGTCTAGGTCAGTTGGTGAAGCTGCTCACAATACAAACACATTTTTATTTACTTGGTTTAAAAGGACATTGTTGTTTCTGCTGTTATGAAACAAACATTTAATCTTTTCTTTTATCATTTTATTTTCCCACTAAATTCCAAAGATCTGTTCCCACCATGATAGAAACTTGATCTGTTTTAGATCAAGCTTCTTCCACTGCAAAGACTGATAAAATAGCATCTGTCCCTTATCAAGATTAGTCATTGGGACACGCATAGCTAAAATACATGATCTTGCAAACCTACTCAAAATATACAAAACCTGATACACTTTGCATTTAAAATGAACAAAATGTGCAGCTGGTTGTTTGCAAATCACCAAGTGGTCACTACACCTTTTTTTTCTTCGTTTTTTTTTCCCTTTAAGATCACTCATTGATCCCTAAAATAACTCAGAAAACTGGTTTACTTCAAGAAGCACAGCACTTGTTGTTGTGACTTGTTGGGAATACAAAATTCATTTCAAACTACAAGCAGTGATAAAGGGCCCTCGCACCCCGGGGCAATCCGGATTGTGTGTGCGTCCAGCTAAAGCAGTCTTCTATCAGTCAAGTTTTGTTAAGCACAGCTAAAAATAACAGTATGAAGAGGCTAGCTATGCACCAACACTTCCAACTTCGTTAAGCTGCCCCAGCCAACCCTTTTGTCTACTGCAAATCATAAATATATTCATGGTCTCTTAAATGGTCTAAACTTTACACAATGGTTTTGAAGCTGCTATGATAAAAGGTGCGTGGGAGATTTTTTTTTCATTAATAGGTATTTTTGCGCTGCCACTAGGTGGCATAGTGATGAATTTAAGGCATATCCTATGGCCATGATCAGGACTTGTGCTGCATTCTGTTTACATCGTATTCCGGGAACTGGTAAATGGTAGAGACGTCATTTTCCAACAAACCATGTGAAACTGTCGGCTAAATGGAATGCAATATGTATTATATATAATATATATTGTTGCCGCTAACCTAACTCTAATACTGCTACAATGTAAACAATGACAAAAAGAGAGCTCTACTACGTACGTCATGCAATTAAACATTGATTTTAACACGTATAGTATTACACAGAAAACACACTACTTGTGTGAGTGATTAAACATGCACAAAAATTTAAGAAAGATAATTAATAGTAAACGTTACGGAGTTAACTTTGTAAAGCTGCGAGTAGCCGCCATCTAAAACTGGGGGCAGTTTCATTTCTTCCACTATACCAGTGGACTATTACCATTGGAGGGGGTGTTACTCTTTAAGTCTACCATTGGGAACAGAGAAATTACCACTTCCCAGGACCACTGGAACGCAGCATTGTACAAAAAATTTACTGTGCTGTTAGCCCAATTGATGTAAAAATGGGCAGACACAATAAATAAATAAATAAATCTCATGCCAACACTAATCAGATTAACCAGCAACCATTGATAAATTTTGTGCACTAGGTGCACTGTAGGTTTTATAATATGGTGTCAAGAAACTTTTTTGTAGGACATGAACCGATGCACAAATGCACAATTTTATATAGGAGCTACAATCAAGATGGCACTAGAGAGCCAGTTTTTAGTAAACATATCTGGATCTTTATGTCTCCCCATTATTGCACAAGTTTTAAATATCTACCAAGTTTTGAGAAGCTCAACCCTCCAGAACAGTATGGAAATTGGAGTTATGTAGTTTTGGGGATATGTCTAAGGTCACCAAGCTGCCATATCCATGCCCTTTGGTGGCTGCTAGTGATGAATATTTACTTGGTTTTTAAAATGTCTAAACTTTACACTTCAATTTTGAAGCTGCTAGGGTTAATAATTTGAGTGGGATATTTTTTCATGCACAATAAGGCATTTTTATACTACCACTAGGTGGCGCAGTGGTCAATTCACAACATTTGCACATGGTCATGTTCAGGACTGGATGCCTTTATTTTCATGTACATTTTTGCAGTTTGGACAGTTGACAGTGATGTTACCCCCAACGTGTTTAAGTTAAAATGGGAGTATTAAAAAATCCACACTGTTCAAATTATCCAACAACTTTTCAACAACTTTTGTTCACCATTTTGTCAAGAAGCTTTGGTCCAAATTTGCAGTTGATGCATTAAATTTTGAGGGCGAAATACTGTAATGTGAGAATTGCCGAAATATTTCTTCTTCTTTTTTTCAAAATAGCTGACTTCAACAACATCATGGTGCCAAGCTTTTTGTTTATACTGGAATGATGTACAGTACATATCACCAAATTTCACGAGTATGTTAATGTCTTAACAAGGATTCATAAATCTCAGCCTTTAAAATGTAGTGAAAAAAGCATCCTGTCAGGAGAGAAAAAAATCTTATAATATTATTAATCAGGTTAAAAACAATAGGGCCTCCTGCTGCTTCACAGTGCTTGAACCCTAAATATAGTGGTACGGTGCCAGGGAGAAGAAAAAAAGGAATTGTTGGAATCATTAAACACTTTCAGTCATAACTTCTCAAGATAACCTGGATATTAGGGATATTTTCAAGCAAAATTACTTTTCCAGTCACTTGACAATTATCCAATTATTGCTAATTTTATMAAGGTTTACCCCCACCTGTCACACTCCCAAGTGAGTGTTAAAATGTTAAACCCGTGGGCCTTGAGTTTGACACATGTGCCCAATGACATTTATTGGCATCCAAAGCATAAAAACTGGAACTTTTGTTCTGACAAAAATTTAAATAAAACCCACCGTATTGATTTACCATTACCTACATGGTTATTATTAATTTCAAAAAACATATAATGAGCTTGAACAAAATTTAATTTCTCTGGAAGTCATCAAAACCACAAATTTTCACATACATGCTGCATGTTTTGCAATAAATCAACAAATACATTGATCTGCAGGCTTTAGAGATGCGGTTTGGTAAAGTTTATAGCCTTTWAATTATATTGAAACATGATTTTAGTTTATTTAAATGATAGATTACCCGTAGAGATGTCACTTATTTTTAATATTTATAGTAMAAAAGGAAATTGTTAGTGCTGCATGACAAATTAAATTATCTTGGATCCATTTTTGCAATCATTGATTGTGGTGTTTCCTTTCTCAAAGAACACTGATACTCTATATTGGACATAACCTTCATGCTCTACTTTAAATTGAGTCAGACACGTTTAATATCCTTGTTTTGTGTCTCATGCCAAATATACAGTCATCAGATTTCTGCACAGAGCTTCAGTGGTTCAGCAGATAAATGTATTTTCACACACTGGAGAATGTAAAGACATTTCTGTCAAACTGTCAGCTGTTTTAGGAATAAACATAACATTTCCTTGTAGAGTTGTTGCTTCTGTGTCCTGTCCGCTTCACACGCTGCCAGCATGCTGGGCTAATGAATCCCACAGCTGCTTTTCTTTCTTGGCATTGAGAAAAACTTTTGTCTGTCCTTGGAGCTGCATTGCATTGCGTCTGGTCCAGGGTACCCCAGGTGAATGGATGCTACRTCGAGCTTTGGTGCATAAACCGCACACTCTTGTTCTTCGCTTGTCGAAACGTCTGACGGGCTGAATAATTCAACATATGGGGGCAACACAGGTGGATCCAGGCATCCATTATGCATGACTGCCAACTGTTGTGTGAGTGTGAGGGAAAAATCAAAAACCGTTACTCGTTTAAAGGTAAATATTCTGCGCTGATGTCACAAATGGAAGAACATTTCTTTGAAAACAGCACAAATAAGAAGTACAGGACTTCAGCTATTATTGATTCTTATGTAATTTCCCATTTGAAGACTTGGAGGTGGATTTCTAACTGTGGATTAGTTGCCTCAGTGGACGTATTGCTAAACTTCCCGTATWATGTAACCAAACGAGTGAAACTTGTGCGCAGCTGAAAAGAAACAATAGTCTCTTATGGTAGGAATGCTGAGCCTCCAGATCAGCTTGGTGGGATAAATTTCTGCTGCACTAAAGGGAATACTGAGGAAGTTAACAAAAGAGCTTCAAGGTGCAAATTACCAAAAGGCCTTCAAAGAACAGGAGTAACTAAAGAAAACCAGGGTGCAACACATTTTTCCTTCACACTTGCTGCCACATACTTGCTAACAAGGAAAAAAGCTCACTGGGACTTTGAAAATTTAATGACTTAAATAGCCCATTTAGATAGCACTTCTTCCAACAACAGCTTAACCTGAATCCATTTGTAAGAGTGAGCAGTAGTAGAGTCTTGTGGTTTAGAACGATACAGCCAAATGACTTAGAGCTTACTCAATGACAGCATGTTTAATTTATGGTCTAAGAAAGTAGACGGGCTAAAGAGCCATAGATTCAGGCTTGTGTAAGCTCAAAATAAATCCAGCCATGAGCTTTTAATGAACATCAGTAAAAATCTGTTTCTATTGTTTTATTCTACTACTTCTGTTGCTAACAATAATGGCTTACAATAGAAAAAATGCAATTCTTCATTTTAGTGTATCACCTTTTTGTAAGTGCGTAGACATCCTAACGCTCCAAATTATATAAAAATATATTAAAAAATGTAATAAAGTCATTCTTACTGTCTTGGTGTGATTTATGAATGTGGAGTTTGAAGGCAACCAGCTGCTGCTATGCCTCTGAGCTGCCGGCAGACGCAGTGACACAGATTTAAAAAAAAAACGTGGATATGTGAAAAGGTCAGCTGGCTTGTGGCTCGATGGTGATAAAGTGATGACAAACCATCTGTATGACCAGTCAGCCATGGGTTTTATAAAGGGAGAT